TGGACAGCAAGGAGATCAAACCAGTCAATCCTGAAGGAAGTATTCATTGGAAGGACTAATACTGAAGCTGAAGCGTCAGTACTTTGGCCACCTGATGTGAAGAGCTGACTAATTGGAAAAGACCCTGATGCTGGGAAAGATTGAAGGCAGGAGGAGAAGGGGACAACAGAGGATGAGACAGTTGGCATCACCAACTCAAGGGACATGAGTTTGAATAAACTCAGGGAGATGGTGAAGGACAGGGAAGCCTGGCGTGCTACAGTCCATGGGGTCACAGAGCTGGACAGAACTTAGTGACTAAACGACAGCAACAGGAATACTCAGTGGCTTTGCTCCCTATGGGAGTGCTCCAGTCCCACCTACCTCACACCTTAGATCAGAAACACAGCTAAGAAACAGATCTGAGGGCTTCTATTCCAACAACTAGGGAGCGGATCCTGCCTCTGATAAGGTGGTGACACCCACAGAGCAAAGAAAAGGTCCTGTTCAGTGCGCAGTGCAGGCTCTGGTGACAATGTCAGTCACAGCTCCTATTAAGGGGATAATGGCCACACACATTGAGAAAAGAGGTGGCGGACATCTATACTAACAAAGCCCTCGTGCCAAAAAGCATTAAACTCACACACGCTACAAAGGGATGGTCCCATAGAAAGATAGCCCTCCAGGACAGTCTGAGAGTCTGGCATTAAGGGGAAGAGCCCCTAGAGCATTTAGCCTTGAAGGTCAGCAGGGCTTGAGTAAAGAGCCCCACAGAGCTGGGGGAAGCAGAGAATGCACTCTTGGAGGGCGTCCACAGGTCTCACGTGCGCTGGGACCCAAAACAAAGCAGTATCTCCATGGGAACCACCCACGGGCTCCACCTCTCTAAGGACAGTTCCTGGGGAGGCGAAAGTCAATAGTAGCTCACTATGGGGGCAAGGACACTGGTAGTGGAAGGCACAGGGAATATTGATTGGAGTGAGCTCTCCCAAAGGTCCATACTTTGGTACCAAGACCCGGACCCACCCAACAAGCTGCAGGCTTCAGTGCTAATAAGCCTCAGGCTAAGCAACCAGCAGAGCCCCACACATCAGCAGTCTGCACAGTCACCCTGAGTTCACTGTGGGCAGGAGAAGGGGATGACAAAGTATATGATGGTTGGATGGCACCACCAACTCAATGTGTTACTGAAAGAGGTGTGTGGGTCTGGCTGCTCGCTGCTCAAAAGCCGAGAAACAGGCCAGACTGGTGGAAAGGAAAGTTGGCTTTATTTCAGATGCCAGCACCTTAGGGGAAGAGTGGTGGACATCTATCCAAAGGTTGACTCCTCCCTACCCTGACAGACGGGATGAGAGCTTTTATAGACGGATTAGGGGAGGGTCTACATGCAGACACAACACAGTCTTCTCTAACTCATTTTCAAATTGATCATCAGTGCTCTGACCAACATCATCTTGGTTGTTTTAGGTACAGTTAATCTTCAGTTCCAGGGTACATTTGTTCCTATTTCTTTGCAGCCAGTTCTCGGATGCGTGGCAGCTCATGTCCTGGGTACACTCTGGTCAACAGGTAGTTAACTTCTCCACCTGGTGTTTTGGTATCTATATGACAGCTCACAGGACATGGTTCAGAATGTTATCTATGGAAGTGAAAGTCACTCATTCGTGTCCAACTCTGCAACTGGATGAACTATACAATCCATGGAATTCTCCAGGCCAGAATACTACAGTGCGTAGCCATTCCTTTCTCCAGGGGATCTTCCCAATCCAGGGATTGAACCCAGGTCTCCCGAAATGTGGGAGGATCCTTTACCAGCTGAGCTTCCAAGGAGGCCCATCTATAGCTCTTGAGAAAAAACTGAAGGTTTTTGACTATGCTTGATGACTACATTATTATTCTTTAATCTCCTTTGATTGTTTTCCTTTGTTTCTGCATTTCTCAATTCTCTGATTAAAATTTATCTCTGGCTAAAGTTTTCCACAGACAAAAGGCAGGCAGAGGACATGGAGGGAAGGGAAGGACCATAGGGTCCTGCTCTATTTCAAATGGATATGTTCAGTAGCATCTGTGACCCCTTGGACTGCAGCACACCAGGCTTCCCTGTCCTTCACCATCTCCCTGAACTTGCTCAAACTCATGTGCATTGACTCAGTGATGCTGTCCAACTATCTCATCCTTTATCTCCCCCTTCTCCTCTTGCCCTCAATCTTTTGCAATGAGTCAGATCAAAGTATTGGAGCTTCAGGTGGCCAAAGTATTGGAACTTCAGCATCAGTCCTTCCAATTAATGCTCAGGGTTGATTTTATTTAAAATTCATTGGTTTGATCTCCTTGCAGTTCAAGGGCTTCTCAAGAGTCTTCTCCAGTACCACAGTTCAAATGTATCAATTCTTTGGTGCTCAGTCTTCTTTATGGTCCAACTGTCACATCCATACATGACTACAGGAAAACCATAGCTTTGACTGTAAAGAACTTTGTTGGCAAAGTGATGTCTCTGCTTTTTAATATGCTCTCTAGTTTGGTTATAGCTTTTCTTCCAAGGAACAAGTGTCTTTTAATTTCATGGCTGCAGTCACCATCCACAGTGATTTTGGAGCTCAAGAACATAAATCTGTCACTGTTTCCATTTTTCCCCCATCTATTTGTAATGAAGTGAGGGGACTGGGTGCCATGATCTTAGTTTTCTGAATGTTGAGTTTTAAGGCAGCTTTTTCACTGTCCTCTTTCACTTTCATCAAGAGGCTCTTTAGCTCCTCTTTGCTTTCTGCCATAATGGTGGTGTCATCTGCATATCTGGGGTTATTGATATTTCTCCTGGCAATCTTGATTCTAGCTTGTGATTCATCCAGCCTGTCATTTTTCATGATATACTCTGCATATAGATTAGATAAGCAGGTGACAATATACAGCCTTGATGTATTCCTTTCCCAAATTGGAACCAGTCCACTGTTTCATGTCTGGTTCTAACTGTTGCTTCCTGACCTGCATACAGGTTTCTCAGGAGGCAGGTCAGATGGTCTGGTATTCCCATCTCTTTAGGAATTTTCCAGTTTGTTGTGATCCACAGTCAAAGGCTTTAGCATAATCAATGAAGCAGAAGTAGATTTTTTTTTTTTTTTTTTGGTAATTCCCTTGCTTTTTCTATGATCCAACAGATGTTGGCAATTTGATCTCTGGTTCCTCTCCCTTTTCTAAATCCAGCTTGTACACCTGGAAGTTCTCAGTTCATGTACTGTTGAAGTCTAGCTTGAAGGATTTTGAACATTACCTTGCTAGCGTGTGAAATGAGCTCAATTGTATGGTAGTTTGAACTTTCTTTGGCATTGCCTTTCTTTGGGATTGGAGTGAAAACTCACCTTTTCCAGTCCTGTGGCCACTGCTGAGTTTTCCAAATTTGCTGGCATACTGACTGAAGCACTTTCACAGCATAATCTTTTAGGATTTGAAATTGCTTAACTGGAATTCCATCACCTCCATCACCCTCCATCACCACCTTTGTTCATAGTGATGCTTCCTAAGGCCTGATTGACTTCCCATTCCAGGATGTCTGGCTTTAGGTGAGTGATCATACCATCATGGTTATCCTGGTCATTAAGACCTTTTTTGTACACTTCTTCTGTGTATTCTTGACACCTCCTTTTAATATTTTCTGCTTTTGTTAGGTCCATATCATTTCTGTCCTTTATTGTGCTCATCTTTGCATAAAATGTTCCCTTGGTATCTCTAATTTTCTTGAAGAGAGCTATAGTCTTTCCCAGTCTGTTGTTTTCTTCCTTTTTGCATTGTTCACTTAAGAAGGCTTTCTTATGTCTCTTTGCTGTTCTTTGGAACTCTGTATTCAAATGGGTATATCTTTCCTTTTCTCTTTTGTGTTTCACTTCTCTTCTTTTCGCAGCTATTTGTAAGGCCTCCTCAGACAACCATTTTGCCTTTTTGCATTTCTTTTTCTTGGGGAGGGTTTTGATTGCTTCCTCTTATACAGTGTTATGAACCTCTGTCCATAGTTCTTCAGGCACTTATCTATCAGATCTAATCCCTTGAATCTTTTTGTTATTTCCACTGGATGTCCACGCGAGACCACGTCCGCCCCTGCCAGCACAGGCCTCTCGCCTTGGCTGCACCGCCTTCGCCACAGGTGGACAGGCAACCAGTTCACCATGGATGATGATACTGCCGCGCTTGTGATCGACAATGGGCTCCAGCATGTGCAAGGCCAGCTTCGCGGGTGATGATGCTCCTCGGGCAGTCTTCCCCTCCATCATGGGGCACCCCTAGCACCAGGGTGTGATGGTGGGTGTGGGCCAGAAGGACTCCTATGTGGATGATGAAGCCCAGAGCAAGAGAGGCATGCTGACCCTCACGGCATCGTCACCACCTGGGATGACATGGAGAAGATCTGGCATCACACCTTCTACAAAGAGCTGCATGTAGCCTCTGAGGAGCACCCCATGCTGCTGACCGAGGCCCCCCTGAACCCTCAAGGCCAACTGTGAGAAGATGACCCAGCTCATGTTTGAGACCTTCAACACCCCCACCATATACGTGACCATCTAGGCTGTGCTGTCCCTGTAGGCCTCTGGCTGCACCACCGGCATCGTGATGGACTCTGGTGATGGGGTCACCCACATGGTGCCCATCTACGAGGGGTATGCCCTCCCCCACGCCATCCTGTGTCTGGACCTGGCTGGCCAGGACCTAATGGGCTACCTCATGGAAATCCTCACGGAGCATGGCCACAGCTTCACCACCACAGCCGAGCGGGAAATCGTCCGTGACATCAAGGACAAGCTCTGCTATGTTGCCCTGGAGTTTGAGCAGGAGATGGCCACCGCGGCCTCCTGCTCATCCCTGGAGAAGAGCTACGAGCTGCCGAACAGGCAGGTCATCACCATCAGCAGTGAGCGGTTCCGCTGCCCTGAGGCTCTCTTCCAGCCTGCCTTCCTGGGCATGGAATCCTGCGGCATTCACGAAACTACCTTCAATTCCATCATGAAGTGAGACACTGACATCCGCAAGGACCTCTACACCAACACGGTGCTGTCTGGCGGGACCACCATGTAACCCGGCATTGCGGACAGGGTGCAGAAAGAGATCACTGCCCTGGCACCCAGCACGATGAAGATCAAGATCATCGCGCCCCCTGAGCGCAAGTACTCCATGTGGATTGGCGGCTCCATCCCGGCCTTGCTGTCCACTTTCCAGCAGAAGTGGGTCAGCAAGCAAGCGTAGGACAAGTCTGGCCCCTCCATCGTCCACCGCCAGTGCTCCTAGGCAGACTGTTAGTTGCCTTACACCCTTTTTCTTGACAAAACCTAACTTGCGGCAGGAAACGAGATGAGGTTGGCATGGTTTTATTTGTTTGTTTTTTGTCTTTTTTGATTTTTTTTTTTGGTGCTTGACTCAGGATTTAAAAACTGCAACGGTGAAGGTGACAGCAGTAGGCTGGATCGAGCATCCCCAAAGTTCTACAATGTGGTGGAGGACTTTGTACGTTTTTTTTTAATAGTCATTCCAAATATCCTGAGATGCGTTGTTACAGGAAGTCCTTTGCCTTCCCAAAAGCCACCCCACTTCTCCCTAAGGTGAAGGGGCCAGTCCTCCCCCAAGTCCACACTGGGGGAGGTGATAGCATCGCTTTTGCGTAAATTATGTACTCCAAAAATTTTTTTTGTTTTTAATCTTCACCTTAATACTTGTTCTTTTTGTTTGTTTTATTTTGAATGGTCAGCCATCATGCCCCCCTTTCTTTGTCCCCCAACTTGAGATGTATGAAAGCTTTTGGTCCCCCTGGGAGCAGGTTGAGGTGCAGAGGCAGGCAGGGCTTTCCTATACACTGATTTGAGACCAGTTCAATAAAGTGCATACCTTAAACATAACACACACACACAAAATTGATTTGGATTTGATTTAGGTCAGACCTGAATGGTCTAGTGGTTTCCCCTACTTTCTTCAACCTAAGTCTGAATTTTGCAACAAGGAGTTCATGATCTGAACCACAGTCAGCTCCCTGTCTTCTTTTTGCTGACTGTATAGAGCCTCTCTATCTTCGGCTGCAAAGAATATAATCGGTCTGATTTCGGTATTGACCATCTGGTGATGTCCATGTGTAAAGTTGTCTCTTGTGTCGTTGGAAGAGGGTGTTTGCTTTGACCAGTGTGTTTTCTTGGCAAAACTCTGTTTTGCCCTGCTTCATTTTGTACTCCAAGGCCAAACTTGCCTGTTACTCAAGGTATCTCTTGAATTCCTACTTTTGCATTCCAGTCCCCTATGATAAAAAAGACATCTTTTTTTTTTTTTGTTTTTTGGTTCTAGAAGGTCTTGTAGGTCTTCATAGAACTGTTCACCTTCTTTGGCATTAGTGGTTGGGGCATACACTTGGATTACTGTGATACTGAATGGTTTGCCTTGGAAGCCTACCAAGGTCATTCTGTCATTTTTGAGATTGCACCCAAATTCTGCATTTTGGACTCTTTTGTTGACTATGAAGGCTACTCCATTTCTTTAAGGGATTCTTGCCCACAGTAGTAGATATAATGGTCATCTGAATTAAATTTGCCCATTCCCATCCATTTTAGTTCACTGATTCCTTAAGTGTAGATGTTCACTCTTGCCATCTCCTGTTTGATCACTTCCAATTTACCTTGATTCGTGGACTTAACATTCCAGGTTTATGCAATATTGTTTTTCATAGCATTGTACTTTACTTTTATCACCAGACACATCCACAACTAAGTATTGTTTTCACTCTGGCTCAGCCTCTTTATTCTTTCTGAAGCTATTTCTCCACTCTTCTCCAGTAGCATATTGGACACCTACCGACCTGGGGGGTTCATCTTTCAGTGTCATATCTTTTTGCCTTTTCATACTGTTCATGGGGTTCTCAAGACAAAAATGCCAAAGTGGTTTGCAATTCGGAGACCCAAGGAAAAGCTGATGTTGCAGCTTGAGCCTGAAGGCAGTCTTGAGCCTGAAGGCAGTCTGTCTCCACGGACTTCAGTCTTTTTCCCCTAACACCTTCAACTGATTGGATCAGGTCCAGTCACATTACTGAGTGTAATGTGCTTTACTCAGCATTCACTGATTTAAATGTTAATATCACCTAAAAAAGAGAGCCTCTTCATGAGGGTGAAAGAGGAGAGTAAAAATCTGGTTGAAACTCAAGATTCAAGAAACTAAGGTCATGGCATCCAGTCATACCACTTTATGGAAAATAGAAAGGGAAAAAGTGGAAGCAGTGACAGATTTTCTTTTCTTGGGCTGCAAAATCATTGTGGATAGTGTCTGCAGCCATGAAATTAGAAGACACTTGCTCCTTGGAAGGAAACCTATGACAAACCTAGACAGCATATTAAAAAGCAGAGACATCACTTCGCTGACAGTGGTGCATGTAGCCAAAGCCATGGTTTTCCTAGTAGTCATGGATGTGAGAGTTGGACCATGAAGAAGGCTGAGTGCTGAAGAGTTGATGCTTTCGAACTGTGGTGTTGGAGAAGAGTCTTGAGAGCCCTTGGACTGCAAGGAGATCAAACCAGTCAATCCTAAAGGAAATCAGTCCTGAATATTCACTGGAAGGGCTGATGCTGAATCTGAAACTCCAATACTTTGGTCACCTGATTCGAAGAGCCAACTCATTAGAAAAGACCCTGATGCTGGGAAAGACTGAAGACAAAAGGAGAAGAGGGCGACGTAGGATGAGATGATTAGATAGCATCACCGACTCAGGGGACACGAATCTGAGCTAACTCCAGGAGATAGTGAAGGACATAGGAGTCTGGTGTGCTATAGTCCATGGAGTTGCAATGAATTAGACATGACTTTGTGACTGAACAACAACAACAAAGTCACCTAAAAATACTTTTGCAGAAACACTGACACACAAAATTAATCATCAGAGATGGATACTTCCTCAGCATAATAAGCTGTATCTTTCTTTGCCGATAGGGTCTTTTTTTAAAGTTGGGAACAAACTAAGGGTCCCCACTACTATTTAGCCCTCTACTAAAAGTACTAGATTTGTAGTCAGAAGAAAGGAATTAAAGATGTAAAATTGGAAAGAATAATGTGATACTGTCAGTAATTTTATATCTGCAGAATATCAGACACTCAACTGAAAGGCTCAAACAAAAGAATTCATGAAGATAGCATCATATAAAATTAATACACAGAAATTATCAGCTTTCATATTCAGAAAAAATTAGCCAGTTAGGAGATGATGGGAGAAAAGATCTCTTTTGCAACAACAAAAAGACTGAATACCTAGAAATAAATTTAATAAGAAATTGGAAAGACTTTTATCAAGGAATTTTAAAAATGTTCTGAAGGAGCAAGAAGATGTAATGAACACATAGAAACATTTCTTCTTGTTGGATAGGCTATCTCAATGTTAGAAAGGTGTTAGCCTCCCTCTGTTAAATTATATGTGATCTCCACCAAGTCCTAATATGTACTTTGTGGGCATCTATATATGCTAATTCAAATGCTGATATAAAAAAATAAGAGCAGCCAGGAAAACTTTGAAAAAGAAGGGTAATGTGAATGATGTAGCCATGATGACTATTAAAACATAGGGTAAAGTTTTAAAACCCTAAATAGCAGAGTTCTCACAAGCAATGGGACAGACCAGTGGAGAAGAAATATAAATGGAAAAAGTTCAGAAACAGACACAAAAACACACAACAATTAAGCATGTGATGTCATTTTAAACCAGTGGAAAAGGATGAACTAGTTAATAGTGTTAATATAACTGGGTAAACCATCCAACAGAAAAACCATATCCCCCATCTTGCACAAGCATATATTCCGTATGGATTAGAGGCTGATTTTTTAAAAAGAAAAAACAACAAGCCATAAATGCACTATAAGAAAACATATTTTTTTATAAAGTTTCAAGTTAGGTCAGTTCAGTTCAGTTGCTCAGTCATGTCCAACTCTTTGCAACCCCATGGACTGCAGCATGCCAGGCTTCCCTGTCCATCACCAACTCTAGAAGCTTGCTAAAACGCATGCCCATTGAGTTGGTGATGTCATCCAACCAACTCATCCTATGCTGCCCCTTCTCCTTTTGCTTCCATCATTCCCGGCATTAGGGTCTCTTCCAGTGAGTAAGTTCTTTGCATCAGGTGGCCAAAGTATTGGAGTTTCAGCTTCAGCATCAGTCCTTCCAATGAATATTCAGGACTGATTTCCTTTATGATTTACTGGTTTGGTCTCCTTGCAATCCAAGGGACTCTCAAGAGTCTTCTTTAACACCACAGTTCAAAAGCATCAATTCTTCCATGCTCAGCTTTCTTTATGGTCCAACTCTTACATTCATACACAACTACTGGAAAAAGCATACTGGAAGTTGGGTAGGCTTTTCAAATAGACTCAAATCCAGAAGACACAGTACAAAATGTTTAGTTAAGTTTGAATATGTGTGTATGTATGCACTTTTCTCCAATGCAAAAACAGAAAGAAAAAAAAAACTGACACAAAGAAAGCCAGAAGACTTGAAAAACTGGAAATAAAAACTGCAACTGCTAATTTCCATCCCTTTAAAACAATGATCACATATGGTTTTTCTAATGTGACAGGCATTAAACTGAGCACTTAAAAAGGGTTTAGTTAAGCTGTATACCAACCCTGTGATGCAGAATTATTACTAACCCCATTACACAACTGGAAAATCCAGGCTGGAAGGGTTAAGTAATTGGCTGAAGTCACAGAACTAGTACAAAGACACCTCCAAATGTGAACCCTGTAACATGTACACCAAATACAGGATTCCCCAGAAACTGACCAGCAACACAGTAGAAAAATGGGCAAGAGAGTTGAAGAATTCATAGAAAAATAACTCCAATTGCCTCTTACATGTAAGAAAAGATACCTAAAGTTGCTCATAATAAATATATGCAAATTAGAACTTTACTGAATCATTTGCGGGAGATGCAAGAGTTGCAGGAGATGCAAGAGATGCAGGCTTCATCCCTGGGTTGGGAAGATCCCCCATAGTAAGAAATGGCAGCCTACTCCAATATTCTTGTCTGGAAAATTTCATGGAGAGAGGAGCCTGGTGGGCTATAGTCAATGGGGTCGCAAAGAGTTAGAGATGACTCAGCATGCAGGCAGAGATGCAGAGAAATCATTTTCAACTTTTGAGCTTGGCAAAAAATTTGAAAGCTTAATACTCAATTTCCTGATGAGAGAACAGGGAAAAAGGTCATTAGTCATCAGTTACTCAAGGGAGTGTCAACCGAACTAATCCCTGGAA